AGAAGGTAGGAAGCACATGGATGACAGGGGTGGTGNCCCCCCCCCCGGCTCACAAGTGGAATCAACCATCCAGCTGGTCTAGACGCAAGGCTCTCGAGAAGGTAGGAAGCACATGGATGACAGGGGTGGTGGTGGTGGTGGTGGTGGGGGGGGGGTGTATGTATATGGAAGTAATATGTTGCTGGTCGTAGGTCAGAATATGGATCTCCGTTTGATATATACATGTATCATCTACCTACATATATACCATACTCGTACGACATTACGTATCTAACTCGTACAAGGCAGGCAAAGAGAAGGCAGAATAGGTTTTTTTTTTAATTTCATTTTTTGTTCCATTTTATTCTTCTTCCATACTACCAACCAACCCTTTTTCTGTTATCCTTGCACAGAGCAGAAGCTCAGTTGTCGAGGGTAGTATATTATTATGATGTATGTAGACTTGATGGTTGTCGGCTCCGTCGACAGTCGGTGCCGGAAAGAGATTTTTCTTTTTCTTCTTTTTCTTCTTTTTTTTCTCTTTTTTTTCTTTTTTTCTTTTTTCTTTTCGTGCCACCCCCCGGTATCGATGTTGATGATACCCTGGTATGGTGTGTATTGCTCACCACTCCGCAACTCATATATATATATATATATATATAATAGTAATAGTGATAGTTATATGTAGCCTGTCTCTCCGCACCCGCACCCGCCCACAGGTGAGATGCGAAGAGAAACCCCCCGTCGACCCGAGACCCATTCACTGTCTTCCCGGGTACGGACTTGTCTGGGGCACGAGCTTGCCGTGTCGGAGGATTCCCCTTCTCGGCGGGGAGGGGGATGGCTGCTCTGAACTTTGCCGGTACTCGGTGCTGCGGTATGACCTGTATATCCGATCGTGTCCTTGAAGTATAAATCATCCAAGTCTCTATTTTTTTTTTTTTTTTGCAGGTGTATATGTAGGTGTATGTGTGTGTGTGTGTGTGTGTGTGTGTGTGTGTGTGCATGCTCCCTGCAGTTCGCTAGGAATGCCACCCTCTAGGATATCACTCTGTATCCGGACAGTTTTTTCCCCTTGTTGATCTATAATTCTGTATGACTCTCTGTATCTTGAAAGAATAAACAAGCCTTGGGTATATATTATTTATCTACTATTCATCAATATCTGCTTCCTTTTATCTCTCTCTCTCCCTCTCCCTCTCTCTCACACCAGAAAGATAGCATTCGTTGCCGAAATGCAAGGTTATATATCATAATACCATGTAATAGACATCAGCCCCCCCTCCCCTGCCATCGCAGGGCTTACCGTAATGGGATCGAGCATGGTGAGATGCTCTTCTTCTTTTCTTTTTCTCCTTTGCCCGCCGAGAAGCTACGTCTCCCCTTTCCGATCGAGAAACTTTTAGAGAGAGAGAGACGCTCTGCTAGTCCCTCGTAAGACGAATTGTTTTTGACAGGTCAGATTTCAGTATTTCAGTACGAGCATTACTCCGTACATGTGCTTTGTTCTTGATCTAGGAGGGTGTCTCTCTCTCTCCCTCTCTCCCTCTCTTCCCCCCCCTCTCTCTTCCTCTCCCTCTCTCTCTTCCTCTCCCTCTCTCTCTTCCTCTCGGTTTAGGGGGAGGGGGGGGTTCCTTTGTGAGAATGGGTAGAATCCGGGGTTTCCCAAGGCATGAATACATGTACTCTTTATATACATATACATATATATATACATATACATATATATATATATATATGTGTGTGTGTGTGTGTGTGTGTGTATATGCATATATATGCCGATTTCTATACCTGAAGTCTTATGAGTGAATGGCATTTGTGCAGAAAGCTCTCTGTTCTCGATACTTTTTCCTTGCCGTGTCTTATCACGCTTGAAGGATTTTTGTATCCTAGAAAGATTTGCACCCTAAAATATGACGAGTGAAACAACAGCAGAGAAAAAGTCCCCCGATGGACGATGGACCGCACACACGGCACACGATGCGATCGACCAGAAGGGAGGGGAGGGGGGGGGGGGGGGGGGGGGGGGGGGTGTGAGGCGGAATCGGAGGGTGGAGGGAAGGGGGGGAGGAGAGAGGGGAGGAGGTTAACGCGTATACATTAATCGAGCTGAGAAAGAAAGTAATAGAAAAAAAGTATAAAAAAAAAGTAAGAGATAAAATAAGAGTAGAGAAAAAAAAATAAAGAGTGAAGAAGAAGAAAAAAACCCACTTCTTGGAATCTACTTCCCAGCCACTCTACATCTTCATCCTGCCGCCACCGTCTCCCGGATACTTGGGAATTTGGGGGCTTGAAAAACTTGGGAGAGGCCGAGGAGAGACACGTGGTATGGTCTACAGAGTAATCTGTACATGTACCATGGTTGGTTTAGTGTGATCTGTGGTGGTGATGGTGGTGGTTGGTAGTAATAGTGGGTAGCAAGCGGTACTCCGTAACAGTAGCGGTATCGATGGTCGTCGGTGGAGGTGTCATATATACGGAGTGATATTGCTGCAGTTGCCGCACGGAGTAGCATCGACACAGGTAATGGCATCGCAGCAGCGGCAGTGGTATCGGTACGAGCAGCGCAGGTATAGCGTGTGGTAGCGGTACAGGCAGTGGCCGTACTGCAGGTAGGTCCGGTACTTGGCAGCATACTGCGGTACAGTACATATGAGCAGTACATGTATAACTCTGTAGTGGTGGTATTACGCTGTAATACTACCGTAGCAGCAACAGGAGGTGTGGTGATGCTGCTGCTGCTGCTGCTGCTGCTACTACTACTGCCGCTACTACTGCTACTGCTACTACTACCACAACTGCTACTACTACTACTACTACAACTACTGCTACTACTGCTACTGCTACTGTTGCTGCTGCTGCTGCTGCTGCTGCTCCTGCAGTACACTGCGAGTAGCTGTAACGACGGCACCAATCACTCGTAGACATGGCAAGTAAGAGGAGAGCCGCTGTATTGCTCCGTACGAGGAATGGTTATTACAACTCTCGACATCTCAAAAGAGAAGAAGAAAAGTCGTCAATCTCGACCCCATCTTAGGTTTTCCTCTGTTTCTTCTTTTCCTCCCCCTCTTCCCTCTTCCCGGCTCCATCACGTGCGTGTTTTCTTCTTTTACCTGTCAGGGTCAGGTTGTCACCGCTCTGCACCCCCAGCATATCTCATCTGGTCAGATGACAAGATTTCGAGTCACTCACAAACATCATATATGTATATATGTGTGTGTGTGTGTACACTACTACCTATTACTACTACTACTACTACTACTACTACTACTACTACTACTACTACTACTACTACTACTACTACTACTACTACTACTACTACTACTACTACT